TTCAAATTCCTAGTTACAAAAATACATCACATTTCTGCTTTAATCAGTGAAAAAAAGATGGGAATCTATTATCTGAATTTAGTCGATTTAAATGGAGAAAAATAGTAGAGAAACCAGTCAAACATCTGTTTTGCATAAAAATTAGTTAACGATACAGTTTGCCTCAAATTTAAACTGATAGTATGGAACGAAGAACCCCCATATATGTTTTCTTGATGCGAATTTCTCGCATATAAAAGCCTTTAAATCCTATAAAAACACTTTTCTTCGACATATTTCATGATTGATGGAAGTAAAGAAACAGGAAAAAACTTAGCTGGTCCACTTTGCTTAGAACGTTTCAAATTCTTTATCAGGCAAAAGTTCCACATAGGCACAAAGTACTTGCTGAGAATAAACACATACACGCATTCTGAAGTTTTCTGATACCCAGAAATATGAATAACGGCTATCAGTTGGAAAAATCAGTTTCTAAAACTGGAATCTATTAATCTCTATCTAACTGCTGAAAAATTTCTCTGATGGGTTGCATAAAAACACTCTTATTATGGAAACCGATATATAATTACCTATGTAGCTCAAAAATACCTGTACTGTATGCTGACCACGTTTCTGCAATGAGTATCATTTGCAGTCTAGTGAACTAATACAGATTACAAGGATGAGACACCCAAGCGACACAGAACTCATGACTGCAGGGAACCAATTTTACTATACACAACTGTTCAAGTTTAAAAATCTACTCTGTTGTTTTTGCTTTCTACAATGCTTACTTTTGCACTAGTCGTATACAAAAACTTACTTGAAGCATTCTTGAGTTTATAAACAATAGATTACATTTTGGTCACACAAACATGGAAGATAGGCTTAAAAAAGCAACCATCTTTCAAAGGGTCAGTATGGTACTAAGAAAGCAAATATTATCAACTTCTAAAGTGTGATAATAAACCAAGACAGTCAGTATTTAAAAGCCTGAGCATCACAAACATTCTTGACTCCTAGTGACAACAACACGCTTACACGCATGCATAAATACACATTATTCAACGACTACTACCTTCGATTTCACTTAGTTTTGAAGCATATAAGCCTTTGAAACTAAGTTAATTAATCTCAAAGATGTTTTGGTTTCAACATAATGTAGCCATATACCATTTTCATAACAGTCTGTAGGTACATCCAATGCTCACCTTTCAGTGAACTCATAACTTCCTTTGATATAACACTAACTACATGTATCATACGATGAAACTCCCGAATTTGACATTTAACAAGTAATAAGAATCTTGTAAATAACAACACGACGAGTAAGAATAATAATTATATGGCGTAGCAATATTGTTTTCGTAGTACGCCATCAGTCACATCTAATTTATGGGGACTTATAACATTATCCAGTTCTGCAGATGGAAATAAATGAAAAAAGTACGAATCTTTGATGTTTATGTTTAGCGACATGCAAGCAAGAGAAAGTTTCAAGGTCGATATCATATACTTCTTGGATGAGCCTTTCGCGCCCTTAGAAGAAAAAGTATTCGCATTATTATCCAGGATGCTGAACTCGAGACGGCAAGCATCCGTAGCTACATTTTCCGATAGTAAGCCTAATCTTGTTTATACCTAGTTTCAATCAACTTAAGAACGTCGAAAACGGTAAACCTAAAAGGTACGTGCAGTTTCAAAATAGCTGAGTCGAAAATGACATAATTTCCTGGTAGTCAAAGAGAACCAGCTAGTTTCCGTAACCAACTCTCTTCATCCATTCCCCGTCCCTTGAAAACGCAGTCTGCACGATAGAATAGTGACTAGTAGTCACATAATCATGGTCGCCAGTGACTATTAGAAGTCTTTATACAACATCTATTCTATCAGTACCCTAAAACCTAGGATCATAACCTCCCTATAAGGATGTAGAATTAATATCAAATCTGTCGCAGAACCACCCTAGCTCTTCTTATCCTGAAACAAACTTGCCACCATGTGAAGTGAGTAAATGAGATTTCTCCGTCAGAACCCAACGTGTAGATAGTTAAGAAAATTTTGAGAGGTAGTATTTTGGAATCACTTCGTATTTGGGTAGCCACGTATTTCCCAATTATAGAAAAGGTGTGACATATGAGTTTTCCAGTTGCATACTGTAATAATTTTCTCTTTCAATTACACTGTATGTTTACAAGTGTACTATATGATTCGATAGAAACTTAGGTGAGTACTACGACGTTAGTCTCTGATAAATTATACAGTATGCAAACTCTATGCAAGATGAGCACAAACAAATACAAGGATCAACGTAGCAGTAGGTTCATATTACCAACGCATTCAGAATAACTTGCATTTCGTCAGCGTCTTTACTTTATAGGACGATGTTATCTGCGTACTCCAAACCGACTAGGTGTCACTCAGAGAGTCGATCAATCTCTCTGAAGTCAAATGTTCCTAGAACTACATCCATGAATACGTCTCTAACAAAGTTAAACAGGAATGGTGATAGCAGGCATTTGTGATGGTCACAACTAGTTATCGTCAATTCAAATGACAACTCTCCATGAGCCCTTACATGGCTTCGTGTGTTCTAGTAGAAAGCTTTGATTAGAATTAGATAATTACTCGATACCCCCTTATATTCGGACACTGCCAAAACACTGTTTGTTATTGAAAACAATGAGGAATCAATGTGCTGTAATTCGCTGATAAAGCGATTTATTGACTAAAACGAAAAATTCTCCGGAAAAAAAGTGACTTGTCTTGTTCCTTGGAGATTCTCCAGTGTTATAGCATAACGATGAGATATGTAACAAGGACTGTTTACCATCATTCAGTGACTTTTAAATACATGTTAGTAACATATACATAACATGACACAATGTTTCCATTTATCGGTCAAATAATGGGCGTAAACAATTCATAGTTTTGACAGAACATCTTCGTAAACTAATTCCATCAGATAAATAAAAATAAAGCATGCATGAGAGTGTGAACGAGAAAACAAAGAGATGAATTGAGCCGTGCAAAAATAAAAATGACAGAGAAGCCTTATTTACTTATTTGCACTAAAACGAATAGAAAATCTATTTGCTTTTTCATCCATTCATCCAAGTAAGTAGATTAACACCTTAATGGCGATAAAACTAATAATAATAAACGCAGTAACAGCTTATTTTTCATCCTATATATATCAAATAACTTAGAATAAACAAGAAAAGGAAAAAGAAGCGAATCTTTTGACACAAATAAAAATAACTCCAATGTGATAGGAACAGAAAATTACAAAGCTCCAAGTGAATAAAAAATCCCCAAAGAACAAAGATGAAATACAAACATTAAATCAAAGCCTTAAAAACTAATATATCTATATATAGGCTCCATGATAGTACACAATGGTGGTTTGATCCAAACTGGTGACCACCACCTAGCTGCCAACCAGATTAAAGTGGTATTCTGTATGGATATTATGCAAATGCAAAAGAACACACACATGAACTTACAAACCTCAGGTTGGTATTCATCGTGAATTGACATCAGTTGGAGAACCATTGGGGAACTGAGAGCACTGAACAACTGTTTCGTCCTAACATGGGACCCTCAGCAGCGCACACCCATGACTGCGCCGGGGATCAAACCCAGGACTTTCAGACTTCGTGGTCAGCACGTTACTACTGAGCCTGTGGTCCACATTTTCTTCATGAATTTATACTTCAAAAAGCATTTACTCACAAAAAGAATTTTTCGCCTTAAACTTTAGATGATTAAAATAATTTGTATCACCTTAAAGTCCCAGTATGAGGTGTGGCAATCTAGACCATTACACAGTAATTCTAAATCCCATATTCATAATGATCGACAAGGGGATATCAGCTAATAGTTAATACAGTTGTTCATTCCTATAGTTCATAAGTAGATGAGACTTGATTGTATATCTAGTAAGAGGAAGTAAGGAATGGACACATGTCTTTCATTTACATGAATTTCGTATACATTTATAGTTTGTGACATAAGACTGACCTACACATAACCAATATACGAATACCATGCATGAGTAACCTCGGCAGTATTTGATTCTACTGTTGGCTCACCAAGTATGCTTCAGTGAACCCCAGTCTATCAACTAAGAGTGTAGATAGAAAAATTTCACTTTATGGATAAGAAGAACAAATTCATGACACTCATTGTGAACCTGAATTTATTTGTCACCTAAGCTTGTCATTTCCGTACTATCGACAAATCTTTTTTGGCACATGGACTTCTTTTGATGACACTTATACATTACTACGCATCGCATTATGATGGTATTTTTCCCCATGATGTTTGTTAATTACATTAAGCCCTGATCTCATTACTTAATCTCTGATATACAAATTAATAAGTAATATTTCTGAAAGACAGATTTCATCGAGATTCATCAGAAACTTCTGAACTCATCATTCTGGTTCGCAAAAACCTTTGTTACACAAAATTGTTTTTCACTAGGACCTGGTCATATTTAATAAATGTCAAAAAAAGCAGTTTGTGAAATGTTCCGTATGAAATGTTTTACCATAGAAAATCGCCTTTGTTTTTCCTACGTTTTAATAAGTCACTAGAAAAAAGTAAATTAAAGGTGACAAGCGTAAGGAAAATCAGTTTCAATGACTTAACAAGTCTGTAGTATAAAGTTATCATTACTGAAATGCACAAAACAACGTATCCATAGTTTACTGAATCAAGGAGAGTTACACTAAATCAAAGTTTGCTATCACCAACACTCTACATTCAAGTGAACCGTTATCCTATTCACGTTTTGTCAAGGAGTATTTACTAATCGATGCTTGACCAATAATTATTGTTGATATCACTTTTTCACATTTATCATACTGATGAGTACAAAATATACAACTTCGAGCAAGAGATATTTAGTAAATGAAAAACAGGAGATAAAACGCTTACAAACTATTTTATACTGCATGAAAAAATTTATTTCGAATAATAATATAAATAGTAGTAATATACCACAGTAAACCTACTTTTGGCTTTGTCCCTGCACGAACATCACTTATTTGTGAAAGTTCAAGCTGTTGACTGTCCTGTATATGTAATGTTAACAAAAAAAAGGTTACAGTAAAATGAAATGTCTACTGAAAATGGTTAAAATAAAGCAAATACAAAGTAAACGAATCAAAACGTTGCTTTAGAAATGACTAGGATGCAACTGGACTCATTTAAAAACTCCATGTCGGGATGACATTTAAATCTACCATTATGACTGCTAGCCACTGCTTAGTACTATCTAACAACAAAGCATTGTTCCATAAATCGGTACATAACAGACAGAATAATCACCTCTATAACTAATACAAAACACTATGCGCAAACAAGCTATCTCCTGAACATAAATCAGGTGATACCTGAGATTAAAAAGATTTCCAATGGTTGCCTGAGCTATTTTTATTTGAATTTTTTTAAATGACTGACATATGCGATAGACAGTGGAAATGATTTCATTGTTTAAAGTATTCCGATAAGTTACTTTTGTCCTCTGCAGGTGAGTCTGTTAGGTAAATGTTCACATATTTTGATACCAATTGAAATTGATTCTCATCAAAACAAAAGGTAGTTATGACTTTAGGTAGTTAGACTCTTCTGTAAAGAGATTAAGGATAGAAAACATTAGTATAAAAGGAAAGCTAAGAAACCAAACTAATTACCCACAAAGTAATATTATTCAATAGTTCCAGCCTGAGCATATTCATCACTTTTTATATCTTAAGGTTGTAAAGTTGTTACAAAACGTAACTAATTTCCAAACAAACACTGTAACTACCCAACGCAATCAAGATCATTCACCTAAGCTAAAAATATTCTCTACGATTTCAAAATAATGTAACAGGTGAATGGTGACAAATGTAAAACTTCATCGTGATGAGTAGTACATAAGAACTGAAAATAAAAATAAAAAACCTTAAATCAATCCACTTCTGTTAGATAAGCTATCGTTGGTCAAAAATGATCTAACTGAAAAATTGAAACCCCGGATAATCAATTTTCATGCATATGAAGTACAACTTTCTATCAGAGAAAAGCATCGAAAACAAAAGTATTCGATGTCCTTAACGAATTTATTTGAGTAACATTTAACCAAATGTTCTTCTGCTTTTAATTTCTCGTCAGGATAGAAGACAGTAATGAGTTCATGCCTTTCAGCTTTACTATTCTGCTTTTCAAGCACACAATCACGCAATTCATATCATCATTTTATTTAGCTCATTAAAATCACCCTTAAATCTCACTATGTTACTAATACAACTTTTTAAAGAAACATATATATAACTTAAGACAACTGTAAAGTTGATTCATCCTTTCAACAATCATACTTCACTTCTTTTCCTAAGCATTATTACAAATAATATCAACACATAAAAGTGGAAAATACTTATTGTATATTTTGTTTGACTCCAGCAACAAGAAAACACTTAAAAATAGAAACTTCTACAATTATTTCATTATGTTAAAGTATGCGTTTCATCCTTTGTAATGAGAACTCAAAATCTTACATTGTTCTCACTCTGCCAGTATATAAAAAATCCATCTTTGTCTACCCTCACGAAACAGTTTGGCTCCAAAATTCCCGCTTCCTGAAAAAGAACAGTGTAATATTTTAGCAGTTTGTAAACTTGGAAGTTATAATGATTTATAGGTAAAACCTGAAAAACCAGGTGACTTAACTGTAACCTTCTGATTCACAATTTTAAATTACCTGGCTTATGGACCAGATGCATAGCAGTTCTGAACTAACACCAAGTTAGTGAAATGTACCAACTAATATAAGTGGTACTCAGCAATTCATGCACATTGTAACGACATGCTCAAAAACTGCCTAAGATTGATTAAACGACTTAGACACAGACCACCAACCAGTGAATGACTGATTTGAGTGCTACTCTATGTGCACTCAGTCAATCAGTGTCACTAAGCCGTATTAACTACCTTAAGTGTCAAACAGCTAAACAAGAAACACCTACCTCAACAAAACCACTAATATACGCAGGACAACATATAGTGGTATTTATGCCACTAAAAGCTATAAGAACTAACAGTAGAGCAAGTTTATTCCTGACCATCAAACTAATTTGATGGCATTTGGGAATTAACTACACATAGTACTGCAATAACCAATATATGAAAACCCAAGCCTGTTAATTAACTTGAGATGCGATTCGAACGCTAAAAGCTTTAATGTGCCACCGGGAGTACAGCTTTACTGGTGTGTGAACTGCATTGAGTAAGTTAAGGTAACTGTCACTGATTTTAAGAAATTAAAATCAAGATACCATATGTGTTATAGACTTAATTAAGATATAAAAGATAAAATAACATGAGGAGAGGAAGAGAACTTGTGAAAACTAGGAACATTCCGTGTCAACTCAACACGGCCTAGAAGTTCACACTACCTCATCTTTCCAAAACAAGGCAATATCCTTTTGATTTGTTCAAAATAAAAACAGAGTTGGAGAATTGATTGGTGACTGACTGAATGCTGATTTGCCCAAATGAACAAACATGCCATGTTTCTAGCGCGCCATAACAAACAGATACTTTTTACCAGTCTACTTCCCTAACACCAATCAATGACCACTAAGAAATGTGTGGTCGGCGTTGGTCACAAACAGAATTTTCCATTGTTTACATTCAATCTCGTTACCCTTTGAATAAACATTGTCCCTCTTACTATCCTATTGCTGGATATTTTCTCATCTGAGAGCTGCAGATGAATATGCACATGAAAAAAGACATGATGTATATTGTACATCAAAACTTCCATCAGACTATTGTCCTTTTCCATTCACTGCATTTTACCATAAACCTGAGAATCCCCAAATTAAATCAATTCGGACTACTCCGTCATAACTGCCTTTCTGTTGCTATTTCAACATTTACTCCCAGCATTCACAAACTTTCATGTTGACATCTCAAAAAGTAGGCATTTCCCACAAAAATGTAACTACTTGCATTCGAAATAAATCATCAATCATAACTACTTTAAGAAAGCCAATGTGCTATTTTTATCTCTCATGAGTTTGGATAATCCGTTATGATCACAAGTATTACTGCTACATGGCTTAATCAGATTTCGTTTAAGGCTACTCCATTCAAAGAAACAACTTTGTTAGACACAACTTTAATCTGGATTACTTTGTGCACATTTAAGTATATTCCGACGAAGTAATACAAGCAAAAGACAAAAGAGTAGTCAAATAAAATAATCGTTTAAATAAAACTGTCTCAGTAAAATACCTCATATTAGAGCAGCTGCATCCATGAACAATAGCACCTAGAATAGTGTATTGTAACATAAATATTCCTACCAGTTCAACACCTCAAAAACACATCATACTGTGAAAGAAAAGAACCGTGATCATGCTCACTGGTATACACCGCAAATAAATAGTAATCGGTAATCCAGTGTTACCCTAAGTGGTGTAATTCTAGAAGAGATTATACTTTTGCTTAAAGTACTGGGAAATACGCAAATTTTTTCAGTTTTTTAACATCATGCCACTACTGATTACTTAAACATTTAATGAGACTATTTAAACCACCTTACTCATTATTTTATCAATGTACGGTGTGCATATAAATATCATATATTCTTAGTCTACTGTTGTTAGTGCACACAGAAACAAGCACACTAGCTGGTTCTTATCATCTGTCTTGATTATTAATCACGGTGTCGGTGACGGAACACTATTCATTGCTTCAGATGATTAAATCACCCCAATATAGTATGCGGTAAACAAATTAATAGACAGGTTATGTTTTGTAATGATCTGCAGGTCTAAAACTTTTCAAAATCTTAAGAATCAAAAAAGTAATGCATCTAATACAAATTGAGCAAATTAAGAATTCCTGAATACCCTGTTTTCCACGTAAAAAGCTATTCCTATTACATTTGGTGCAAATTAAAATTTCTTGAGATGCGAAATAGCATTTCTACGTCCAATGTAAAATGAAAACATGAAAATATAATACACAAGAAGAAGACTCACCTCATCGTATCGGTCAAAATATTCCCCATTTTGCAAAATTTCTGGAACAGGCCTTTTCCAAATGAACTCAAATGCCTTAGCTGATGGGACAGTTCGTTGACGTTTGGCAATATCCGACGTCATTTATGGGAGCCTGTCACAAACCGTGTACCAACTTGTGGATTTTCCTAATCCAAGTACAAAATGGAATTTTAGCGAGCTCAAAATAAAAGCAAATGATGAATTGTAAGCTATTGGTTTCATTATGAGGATAAAGTGTTCTGAAGGTTGTATTCTTCGAAAACTACGAAAGAGTACCTGGTCACTTAAAATAGTCTTTTTCAGCATTTCTACAAAACTCACAAATGATAGAGGTTATCAAAACTGCTCATATCCTGTTAAAATAACAACACACAGAAACCCTATTTTACAAAATTAAAAATGGAATGTGTCTTCAAAGAAAGATTATATAACAGCTGTTATGATGTACATAGAAAATATTCGGCCAATGGATTATGATGTCAGCTTCTATAGGTAACAATGTTTAAAAAGAATGTAAATCACACGTCAATAACATCAAAACTAAAGGCCGAATTCACAAAACACCCATTTGTGCAAAATTTTCCAGCATATCTCACTGTTATTAACAAAAACGATAATACTTGATCACTTGACAGAACGTTTTTACCAAGTGGACGGAACTCAACTACAGCTTACAGATGAAATGATGACCAAACTGAAAAACTTCACGAACCAACTCTACACTAATGTGGCGTTTCGTAGACCCCTGAAAACTCAATGTTTTAGTAATCTTTAAACATGGAAACACTAAAAGGACGCAGAATCCCACCAAACTATAATAGCTAGGGTAGCCATTCTAATAAGGATATGGCTGAACATTAAAAACTGAACAGAGCAATAATGTTTTCGATCTAAAGGATAGTGAAGGATGAATGCAGCTAAAAATGGTTGATTATGGATCCCGATATTTGCGTAAAAGAGTGTACTTCTGGCTCATTAGCTCAGGTGACTGACTTTTAACGAGCAGATTTCTGGTTCGATTGACGTTCCACCCAGCACATTTCACATGATCAAAGACGGTGCCGCTTACTACGAAAAACATGTTTCACCCCTACTAAGTCACACTCCCCTTATTTATGGACAAAGAAGAAGCATTATGAAGTGTTATAAGGTGGGACGCTTCTTCAGTTCTATTATGTGAGAAAACCATCTGTGCGTCAATTATGCATTCAAAAGTTTGGACTTGATAAGCTGGTATTATAACAACTTTAGTTCAGATTATATCTAGTAGATGTTAAACAGGTGCACTGAGAGACGTTATTCAGTGTCGCTAATCTGGTTCTGAAGCATTGTAAGAGCTAAAATGTAGTAACATCACAAAGTTTTAAAACTTTATAGTTTGTTATACGGAGCTTTGTCAGAAAGTTCGAATAGCAGACTGAAAAAAATATCCAGAGTTATACAGTTTTCAAGAGTGTGATTTAATTTTTTCGGTTAAAGTTAACTGGTGACGTTTAGATAGTTCACCAATACATACTACCCAGACATAAGACATAAACAACACGAACATTCGATCAGAAACTGTGATTTCCTAGTTTGTCAATTTACGGTAGGTGAGAGGTGATTTAAGTCCATAGTCTACTGGCTAATAACCGACCAAGCCACAAGACGTATTGTTACAACTTTTAAGAAAAGTTTTCATCAAAAAATATCTGCACAGGTAATCTACACAACTTGAATCGCCGAAGCTAAAACATAGATGTAATAAACAAAAATTTCCGCTCACGGAAACGTGGCGGATTTTCAATGGCATCTGAATACGGAACATTTAGTGTTGATTCTAAACATAATCTTATCTACAGCAGACCAAAAAACTACGCATCATCTTGACTTGACACTAGATGTGGCTCATAGGTTAACATACAAACAAGCACTAAGTTGTAGAAATTCTCGGCAGCCAGATATATGACATTTAACTTTGATTTCGGAAATGACTTCGAGATAATAATGGTAGTGTTCACACACACACACACACACTATATATATATTATTATTATTATTATTCGTCCCTTGGGTTCCTAGTGGAACATAGGGCTTCAGTAGCACGCCTCCAGTGACCTCTGTTCTCTGAGATCTTTTGAACCTGGTCCCACGACAGCCCACAACCTCTCATTTCCTCCTCGCATGACCTCCTCCATGTCACCCTCGGACGTCCAACTCGTCGCTTCCCATGGGGATTCCACTCGAGGGCCTGACGCGTGATGTCCTCAGTCGGCCTTCTCAGTGCATGGCCAATCCATCTCCACTTCTTCCTGCATATTTGTTGCGTGATAGGTTCTTGGTTGGTTTGTTCCCAGAGTTCCTTGTTGCTTATTTTTTCTGGCCATCTGATCTTCAGCAGCGAGCGTAAGCAGTTGTTGACGAATGTCTGTAGTTTATTGGAAATGCCTTTCGTGACGCGCCAAGTCTCTGAGCCATACAAGAGCACTGACTTGACGTTGGTGTTGAAAATCCGTATCTTGTTCCACATGCTGAGTGCAGAAGATCTCCACACTGGTTTCAGGCTAATGAACGCCTGTCTTGCTTTTCCGATTCTGACTTTGACGTCCTCGTCCGTCCCGCCTGTAGTTGAAACAGTGCTTCCTAGATAAGTGAAGGAGGTTACTTCCTTCAAGTTTCTCCCGTTGACGGTGATTGGAGTTTGTTGTTGTTGTTGATGGTGGTGGTGCGGTATCTTCATCACTTCTGTCTTCTCTATATTCACCTGAAGTCCCGTCTTCGCTGCCTCTTCTGTCAACTTGTTAGTTTTTGCCTGCAGATCTTCAAGTTTATGTGACATTAGGCACAAGTCATCGGCGAAATCCAAGTCTTCTAGGTTCTTTTCCGTCGTCCAGTGTATCCCCCTCTTCTCGCTGCCTACTGTTTGCTGCATGATCGAGTCCAGTCGACCACAATCAGGAATATCATGGGGGATAGTAGGCAACCTTGTTTCACTCCTGTCTTCACTTCAAAAGCATCACTGAGCACCCCATTGTGAATTACTTGGCATGTGGCATCTTCATATAGTTGTTGAATGAGGCGGATAAAGGTTTGCGGTACTCCGTAGTATTGAAGCAGTTTCCAAATTACTTCTCGGTCGACGCTGTCAAAGGCCTTCTCAAAGTCGATGAAGTTGAGGTAGAGAGCTGATTGCCATTCTACGCTCTGTTCTATGATGATACGAAGCGTTGCAATTTGGTCAGCACATGATTTGTACTTCCTGAAGCCTGCCTGTTCCGGTCGCAGTTTTGAATCCAGTGCGTCTTTAAGCCTCTCCAGGATGATGCGGCTCAATATTTTACTTGGGGTGGATAGGAGAGTGATTCCGCGCCAGTTCTTGCAAGCACTGAGGTCTCCCTTCTTCGGCAGTTTGACAAGGTAACCCTTCTTCCAATCGTCAGGTACCTTCTCTTCCCTCCACACCTTCTGCAATAGTGGTGTGAGCATGTCCGCTGTTGTCTCTGCATCTGTTCTCAGTGCTTCTGGCGGTATTCCATCTGGTCCTGCTGCTTTCCCGCATTTCAGTAGCTTTATGGCGTTCAGGACTTCCATTTTCGTTGGGGGATTTATGTTCACTTGTAATTCAGCGGCTGCAGGTGGTATTTCTGGACGAAGTGCAGGTGGTGGTCGATTCAAGAGCTTCTTGAAGTGGTCGGCCCATCGTTTCCTCTGTTTCTCTTCTTTTGTAATTAAATTTCCTTCTTCATCTTTTATTGGTTTCATCTGTGTTGGTCTCTTCTCTTCCAGCTTATTCGATACCTTAGCAGGTTTCCACTTTTCTCAGCAATGTAACTACTATTTCAATAAAGTACTTGTTGAAGTCAAGAAAGACCAGTAGTCTTGATCATCAAGTCATTAGGTAATAGTTTATGCCACTATCCGCAATTATTCCGAGAGAAAAATTCCAGTATATCGAGAATTCACACGTACAAGGAAACCCAAAGAATCATGAGTATAAGAAAAAAAGTACAACCAAGCCTATTGTTATGACTAGCAAAAAAACATAATGTATCAAACTCTAGGTGAGCATGATTAACGAAGTGAATATATCCATGACAGTAATACACTCTAAAATTGTACCCTGAAACTATCACAGTTCTCCTGAATCGGCTGTCCAAGTATAGAAAAATTACTTGCTGCTTTGAGAGAATTGAGAATAAAGTTCACCGCCGTCTCCATTTTCTATAAAAAGCTCGCCTGTCTGACTTCATTTTACTTACATCCGTATACAGTTCCCTGGATGGTTACAATAGATTACTTATCTGTGAAACTCAGGAAAGTAGCAGCCCTAAATTTAGACACACAGTCTACTATGTCTCGACTAAACACGGGGTGAAGTAAAAGATGAAAGTGAAGACTAGCAGGACACAGATTCATCCGACAAGAGTACTGAGCGAAAATGGATAGATCGGTATTTTAGTCTCCCGAGATAAAGCCTAGCACCAGCTTCGATTCGGCACAGATCGATATTTCATTTGCAGTAGGTATTGGATGCATTTTGACACAACAGATAAGACGTTTCCTCATCTGAATAGGTGGGATTGGTGTGTGAGTAGACACAAACCTACAGTAAATTGGAGGTCATGTTGCTTTTCCAAGTAAATATGACCGACCGTAAAGTTGAAGAATGGTACAAGTTGTCAGTAAAGTGATAGTAACTGATACAAGGTAATTTACGAAACATAATTGTGGAGCAGATTAACTTGGCGGGTAGGTAAACACTCTAATTTATCACAAGAGACAGTAAAACTTATTTGGCAAATAACTGTTTTAACTACCGACCCCAAGTGCAATAAAACTCTTTAAAGTCTGTGTTACATGACCTAACACAAAAAGATCGTCAACTCACATCTGGTTAGGAACAGGCGCCAGAGTACAATGAAAAATATTACTATATTTAGCGCCGTCAAACACATATTCAATTCAATCTCTCAGTGTGTCTATACCAGCTTCAACATCTAACATAATCAATCCAAGTAGAATAAGCTCATATTTTATGAACTCTTGCCTTAAGGAGTGAAATGATGGCGCTTTTTGTTCTGTTATACTCCGTTGGTGTCTACAGAAGACTTTTCAGTTCACTT